GCCCATATCAAGTTTCGGACTCACTATCGCCGGTTCATGCTCGTGCACGACTCGGCCTTGCCATGGTCGGCATTCCTCACACCATCCGCGCAAAATTGCACCTTCAACCTCACGCAAAGCGGAAATTGTCCGACGCTCAAAAGAATTTCAGGTGCCTGACAATTAGCAAACACATTTGAGTATTCCTATCAAAGATGAATACAACAAAGATCATAGAAAAATCTATTTCAGCCAACTGAAAAACATATTACTACGAAAAACTAACATTCCTGTGTTTCTACAACTCTGATGGTTCTCAATTGACGCCATGAGCCAGAAGATCTTCATCCCACGCTAAAACTATGCTATTCCGAGAGAAGATGACAGAAATTGATTAAAGGAGTAGACAAAAACAGAAAGCAGAGATGAATTCCAGCATACACCAAGTGCTTTACAAGCTGAGCAATGTAACAAATCCACAGAGCATTTGGGCAGGGCTTTGAAAGACTTTCCCTAAAATACACTCACAGTTGATCACTGCCTTACAACTGCTGCTACTTCAGTGAGACATCTACTTGACTCATGAACAACTCGACTCCTTATCTAGAGATGCAGCAGGGGTAGGGCAGTGCAACTCTCTAGCTAAATCATGGCAACCAAAAGGTGTTTGTGAATGCCTGAAATCGAACCATTTCCCGCGAAACCCGCGCCTCGGTCACTCTTGCTCCAGTTCTTAGTTACTACTGCTACAACATTACATTGCTGGTTCCATCTGCACCGCTAGTACCACCCAAAACATCACAATGGGTTCAGAAGTCATCAGTGACAGTTTCACCTGAAGAACTCTTGCCACTGCACTATCAGCCCTGAAGCTCTCCGCAGGAAAACCATGGAAGCCAAAAGGAGTTCCAGGCCAGGGTAAAAGCTTCAGAGCTCATGCATCAATGGTGAGGTGCTTCTTGTGACTGGACACCTTGGCCTGCAGCTTCTCCAGCTTGGCGCTGGCGCTCCTGTGCCGGTCGTTCATCTTCCCCTCCTCGGTGCTGCACATCTGCAGCTTCATCTTCAGGCTGAACATCCGCTGGACCCGCGCCGCCCACCCGTCCTTCCCCGCGGCACCGCCGAGCTTCCGGATGTCCTGCCGCATGCCAGAGCACTCCCTCTCCAGCTCCGCCAGCCGCAGCCGCATGCTGTCCATGCCGGCCCTGAGCGCCTGGTTCTCCCTCACCGCCGCCGACGTGACCCAGCGGGCACCGGCTTCGCCGGACGTGGCGATGGTGCCACTGCCATGGAGGGGGCGTGAGGATCCTTCCAGGTTGTCGGAGACCATAAGGCACCCGGCGATGGATGTCCGCAGCTGGAGCTGCTCGAAGAAGAGGACCTGCACCACCACACGCAGCGGCAGGCGCTCGTTCTGCGCTGCGTGGGTGCATGCCTCCAGGGACAGCTTCTGGCAGTCGATCAGCCGGCAGAGATGCTCGCGCTCGGATTCCGGTAGACAAGAATGTGCCTGTCAGCATTGCAGAACAAGACTAAACAGCATCAGCAATGGTAAAGTTCAGAATTTAGCAAGTCAAGCGGCTAAGAGTGACGATGTGATTATTATGGAAAACAATAAACAGCATTAACAATGTGTATGTGAAAAAAAATGCAAATGTGTCTTCATTTCTTGGCAGAAAAACTTAAACATATATGGACATTAGTGTCACCATGCCTTTGGAAGAAGTATCAATTTTACAAATTACAACACTAGGGCATGTTTGGTTGGCTTCCACACTTGGCCACATTTTTGTGCCACCACAAAAACTGTGGCACGCCACTTGTGGCAAACTATGGATGGCAACCAAACATGCCCCCTTTGAAGTGGAGATGAAGAAACTGCATGGTAACTATTTTCAGATAAAAAACAGACTCAAAAGTTTACCTTCAAGTATACATCAATGGCGCGGTAAAGTCCATCGTCTAGAGGCCGGGCATATTCAGGCAAAGCAGTTGCAAGAGATTCAAATTTCGGTGGCTTCAGGTTGATATCTGGTGCAATCTCTGCAAGGTAGCCATCAATCAGCTTGGCGACAGCGGTGATTGGTGCAAGTGAAGGAGAACCCATCACATCATCCAAGCACGGGGAGCCACCACCCATGGTCTGATCCATCGCCAAGAAGTGATCAAGGATCCTGCGCACACATTCGACATTGTAGAGCGTGTCCATTGTGTACGAGAAGTTCGGCAGCAGCAGATCCTCCAGTGTGGCTTCATCTAGTTGCATGCCAACCCTTTTCTCCAAGTTGGAAATGCAAGCACGGCTGACTTTCAGAATCATGGCAGTTCGAAGCAGCCAGAGCAGAACATTTGTGGATATCAGGCCTCTCTGAAGAGGCAGCATCCTGTCAATGTCCTCAAGCAAATGCCTTTGTTCTTCCTCGGATAAGGTAGCAGCAGCAGAAGTCAGGGGCACCGGTCCCATGCTTTGACGCCTATTCAGTCCTGGGAGACACTTCTTGGCATAGTACGTGAGTGAACCGGCGACGATCTCCTCCTTGGCGCCTCTTGACTCCATGGTGGAGATAAGCCTCTTGTATGTAGGGAAGCTCAATGATGAAGCATCATCATACCACCAATCTGAGCTGAAGTTCCCGAGCTTTGCGCCCGTGCTAATACCATTCCACAATACACTGCCACCAGGGCTATGCATCGCACCGTGCTCTGATACTGGCCAGCCAAAGAGGTCTGGGTCGATGCTAGCCTTGGCGGCCAACGATTCGACGCACCTCTTTGCAATGTGAAGGTCTTCGGCATGAGGGAGAAGGACATCACATGTCTTGAGTGCTTCCAGGGAATCTTTCCAGCTGCGGAGAACGACTTGGTTGAAGAACATTTCTGCCTGGTGGATGAGGTTATCCTGAGCTGTTTCTTCTGTCATCTCGAGATATTCGGCGGCGCAACGAAGGTGGACAATATTTGCTGGAGAGAGCTCTATCTTCAAACCATAACAGAACCTTGCCACTAACTCGAACGATTTTGCACCTCCAGGGATGTCAGACAGTTTGATGGTACATTCATCT